TGTTACACTACTCCCCCTTTTCTTTACAAGATTCGTCCTCGAATCTTCCGAATTCGACATCCCCGGAGCGGCACTCTTTGCCAGAACTCCCAGGGCCGGTGTGGGAACCACTGTAAGAAACAGGAGGGACAGATAAAAACCCCACTGGTCCCGGGTCGGGGTTCGAACCCACGGCCCCCAGGCACCAGCTTCATAACCAGACACTCTAACCGCTCGGCCGAAAAGGTCTAGACCCCTCGGCCTGGTCAGTTGGTAGCGCCTATAAACCCCCTACTGTTACATATGGTCATTCAAACTTCCATTGGAATCAATGTTACACACCTTCTGCCCAATACTCGAACACGGTGTCGTCTGCATATGTGTTGGCGAATCGTCCGTTTGCCAAGGCGTCCACGTAAGCCGCTTGCAGACGAGAATCGAAATCCGGGATCACAATCCTGGCCGCCATGTTGTGTACACCGTGGGCAAACTCGTGCATAAATATGTCCTCCACTCTATAGCTGATAAAAAGACAAAATATGATATACTAAATAATGTACATATTTCCTTAAATAATTGCATCAGGTTGGTAAACGAATAAAAAACAAAGTTCTTTGATTGCAACCATTTATTTTTCACGAGCCGACGTTTCGATGACCGTCTGTCATCTTCATCAGGGTAATTCTGACTGGTTTACTGTGCAGTGACGCTAGATGTTACTTGGTGCATAGTGCACTAAAGGTGTTACATGGTTCACAGTGCACTGTTACTTCGTTCACCGAGCACTGTTACTTCGTTCACAGTGCACTGTTACTTCGTTCACAGTGCACTTAAGCTAGTTTTTACTGTTAACAATGCATTTCCGAACGTAGTGCAATTGTGACATACATAGGCATTGTTACATCATAGTGACTGAGAACCATGTAACAGCTTTAGTGCACTATGCACCAAGTAACATCTAGTGTCGGTGCACAGCAAACCAGTCAGAATTGCCCTGATGAAGATGACATCGAAACGTAGGCTCGTGAAAAATAAATGGTTGGGATCAAAGAACTTGTCAGTTGAGCACAAATTCTTTCAGCCTGGGGGTAGCGAGTATATGTCAGGAGCCTCGTTACAAAGCGGATGCCACACAGGCTAAAATACTTTAGAACGGGAAAGCAACTTTTTTGCCACACATATTTTATTCGCTCACATCAGTTTTGTGGTTCCCAGAGGATGTCATACATATAATCAAATCAACATGGCCTAACTAAAGTAAGGCAACAGTGTAAGGAACAGTGTGCAGAATTCGATGAATCTGATGAACTTCCGAACGAATAGCTAAATATATTTATATAAAAGAGGATATAGAACTTTATTTGCACGACAATGTATGGCAAGAACTATTGAACGAAGTACAAAAAGTATAGAATAAAACAGAATAAAACTTGGTAAATCCTGATTACTCAAACAACAATGGCTAGCACAAGATTGTCTTTGAAATAGTGCTACAATCGAGTGGGGCTAAGCATTGGTGTCGGTATTTTTTTTTAATAACAAAGCAGTCTTTTATATATTCACCTTTTTCTACATTGTGGGAGTTATTAGATGCGCAATAAATTCAATCAATATTTCAGTGTGGAGATGCCGTGCCACTTGCCGCGCTACGAGGCCCCGTTAAGTCTACCTATTATTGTTTTAATTGTCATGTATATACAGTATTACTGTTTTGTATTTTTTATCCACATTGTCTATTTATTTGTCGGCATGGTGGCCTTGAAAAGGTGTACTTAGGTGCAACTGTTCCACCATGCCTTCCATGTACATGTGTATGTGGTGAATTGTAATAAATAAACAAAAATAAATAAATTGCCTATATATGTGACATCTTAGCATACCTGTCATTTTGGAAGCACAGAACATTCTCCTCAGCCCCTGTCGACACAGGCCAGGTCACCGTGCCCCCCAGTCCTCGGGCCCGGGTGTTAAAGCTGTCGTCCATGTGGGCATGTTCGGGGATATCCTGGGTAACCTGGTGACCACAGAATTGTAAGAAATGGTAACAAATCAACGCAAATAATTTCATCAGGTTGGAAGATACTTAGGGTATAGAGTTTTCTTCATACACAACCAGAGAGGTTCTCACCTGGATAAGAAAATCAACCCCTGTGATGAACCGGGACGAGGGGGGATACAAGCTCAGCCACGTTTGGGATTGCATTCTCGCCGCAAAAGCGCCACCTACTTTGGCGTTAAATAGCGGCGAGTTGCAGAACTCCAGTCAGAAGCTCTGAGGAAGGTGTCTGATAGACATCGAAACGTAAGCAGGTGAGAACCTCTCTGGTTGTGTATGAAGAAAACTCTATACCCTAGGTAACAAATCAAATTTGGCTTTTAGACGTCTGACCAACAGAAGGTCTCTTAGAAGTGTGATGTGATCAGGCTGCAATCATTGGTTCGAAGTAGTGCAATGAATGAACGAAAGACCTTTATTGTACATTTTTTTCTCAATTGCGAGCTAAGTACAGGTCACGACAAATAGCACTGGTAGACTAAAATGTATCTATAGTAAACAAACTACATTTATACAGGTTCTACTTCTTCTTGCTTCTTAAAACAGTTGTAAATGTAAGAACAGATGGAGCTTATAGTACGAGGGTTATCGAGTTTCATGAGGAATGTGAATTTTTCTTTTCTATCTAAAATTTTAAAACTAGGGAAATAATCTTGTATACAATTGAAGAGAACCATTCTCTCATTATCATATAGAGTACAGTCCACAATAAAATGACTCTCGTCTTCAATCTAATTTAGGTTACAGTAATGACAGATTCTTTGTTGTAGAGGAATGTGGTTGTGTCTACCCTTTTCAACAAGAAGTTTGTGGGAGCTAATCCGAAGTCTTGTAGTGGCTATTCTGTTATTCTGTTTGTTGTTCTGTTAGTTTTCCTCGTTGTATGTAGTTTTAAGTAATCTGTATGTTATTGTTACGAATTTCTGCTATAAAAGTTTGGAGTAATAGGCTCTCTGGTTCCTGAGCTTACCTCAGTTTGGGCCATGATGGCTGCTCTACCGTAGACGTTAAAGTACGAGTCTCGGATGTCCCTCCTGTCCGCTAACATGAACAGCACATCGTAGCAACATCTCCGGAGGGCGTCGTCAGACAGAATGGAAGAGCCCAAAATGGGGATACCGTATGCGTGCAGGTATTTCTAATGGGTAAGAAACGACAACGTTAGTTTTCGGGGCAGTTGGTTAACATCTACCCAGTTTTTAATCATTGATATTTTTGTAAATAATGTATTATACAGCTTGATATTGCATTGTACAATATTTGATGTTTAATTAAGGGTTAATGACCCGCCCCGAGGTGAAAATGGTGTGATAAAGCCTTGTCAGTTGCTATAACCACCGAATAAAGCCGCTCACTTGGTGATTTTTTAGAACAGAATCATGTTCTATATGGGTCACCCGAGGTCATATGCGGGTGATTATTAGGTTGTTTAATGTATGGATTGGGATGAATAAATAGCCCGGTTTTGACTCTATTTGTGACATTACGGCGTCATAAGGAATGTGGAATGGAGCCTTCTGATTGGTCAACGTCACCCGTCATCAAATATAATGTATTATATTTGATGTTTAGTGTATAATATTTCATGTTAATGTTGTTATTATTATTGCAATTTGTTTTGTATTCAATTATGTAATCTGTATTTATATTGTGCATGTTGTGTTTGGGAGGACAACTTTTAAAGGTGTCAATGCACCTGTTTTGTCCTCCCTCCCACTTGTACATCTGGTGGTAAACTCAAATAAACAAATAAACAAATCTCAGAAAATCTGCCGACGATAGATTCAACGGTAGATTTACAAGGCCGTGTGTATCCAGGAGGTATAAAAACACACAACGTTAACATCATATAATTTGAATTGTACACTATATCACGATAAACGCACAAAGCTGTTCAACCTTCTCTCCGCCTGCTCAACTGAATTTGTTGCATTTCATGCTATAGATAAATTTAATTTCATCCTAGAAGGTAATAACCCTTACTGTGTACAAATTGGTAAATATATCAAAGAATGTTTAGACCTTAGAACAAGTAGTATTGGTTGACTCATCTATTGTTTTGTACGTAGGATAATTTCGTTGTACCCATGTATGTCTGTCTGTATATCTACACGTCTTAGACCTTACGAAAGTCGCTGTATTTTTGTTGTTTCAATAAAGTTCTTCTTTTTTTTTATAATCGTTTTCTAACACTGTCCTTTTATTCACAACCATTTTGTTTTACATGAGCAGACGTTTCGATGACCGTCTGTCATCTTTATCAGGGCTAATATGACTGGTTTACTGTGCACTGATTTTAGGTGTTACATGGTTCACTGTGCACTGAACCGAAGCTAGGTGTTACTGTGAAATGCAGTCCCAAGAGTAAAATGGCCAAGCTTTGGAATTCCCTCCCTGACAAGTGTTTCCCACCAACCTACAATCTACAGGCTTTCAAATCAAACGTTCACCGCTATCTCTTGACTGCCATTTTCTCTCATATTTCTAGCTCAATGCCGAGAAGTGGTCGTATAGGCCTTGCATTGAACCACTCCGTTAAAAAAATTGTGACAACCATAGGTATTGTTACAAGATAGTGTTACATGCGGTCCCAAATGTATTTTCTAATGTTATAAGTGATTTCAAACACTTTCTTAAAATTTACAATTATGCTTTTCCTAGTCGTGTAAGTTACTGATATATATATCAGGGTATTTCACACATCCTACAAATGTACTCATGCAAATAACTGATATCCAAGTAAAGGAACAAAGCAGAAAGTACATTCCGCGAATAGTTTCATTAGGTTGGTAAGACACTGAGTAAAGAGACTCTTTTTACACAACCAAGTCTTTGATTCAGCATTGTAGATACATTTCCCTGTAATCTAATCACGCATATGTGTAGATATGTAAAAAATGTACATTTGGGAATGCATCTATAGCAGCGACACCTGTGCTGCAATGCGTTGTGAACCAGTCAGAATTGCCCTGAGGAAGGTGGCAGACGGTCACCGAAAAGTCGGCTGAATAAAAAACTTGGTTGTCTAAAAAGAGTCTCTTTACTCAGAAAGTACATAAGTAAACATATGACCTGATAGAAGGGGTCCAAATTGAGTTCGGTCCGAACATCATCCGGGACAGATGTGACGTCATTGCACTCCCAGGTTTCCCATGATACACCGCGCTTACTTGTGAGGCAGTCCGGAGGTAAATCTGAGAACAGCAGAATTAACAATGATAATTGTTTCATGCCCGAAGGCTAATTGTATGTACAGAAGAAACATTTGGTATAAGAACAGGCAATTAATGCGCAAAAAATACTGTTAACTCCTAAAATGCACTGCATTTGACCCCCCCCCCTTTTTTTAAGACAGAGGAAGCCGAAAGATTCCACTTTTTGTGTAATTTTTGGGTTTTCGGATTTTTAGGGGAGAGTAGTTTTCTTTTGTATATGTGTTACGTCAGGGTAATATAATAATAAATAAATAACTATAATCTACAAGGCAGTAAGGCATATAAAATAACATATTCGTCATGGTGCCATGTGTTATTTTCACTGTTTTTTTTATAAGGTCAAGTGGCGAAATATCCGACCGGAACACTCATAACAAACAGCAACTGAACACACCACTCTGACATACCAACAGACTGAAAAACTCGCCTATACCATACATGTACAAGGTAAGCCTGCTGAACAAGGGACATTGAACTGTTGTTTTTAAAGTTTTCACCCTGCATGTACTTAAATGTTTACTCAAGCGTGTACATCTTCGAGTCAGTCTCCCGTAAGGCGTTTAGTATGTATTTAAATGTTTATTTTTAAAAAGATATCGATGCCGTTGACGTTCTACATTTTAAAAACGACTTGCTACGTAAACTGTATTGACTGAGAATACCTACTCAATTCAAACTCTGTAAGTCTGCAATGCGGTATCCGCAATAAAGATTTCAAAGATTTCAAGACCTTGAAGATTATAATGAAATGGCAAAATAGTCATTCTGTCATTACGTCCCAAATTTTGAAACATTCTATTTCTTAAATTCATATCTGATTGCTTTTCAAGAAAAGACCATAATAAAAGACAATCATGGCACGAAAGAACAACATAAACGTAGTACTACTAGTTACCTGGATGGCATTTGCCACAACTCAGAGGACAGTTTGGATCCATGTACCCTGGATTGCTCTCACAGTCACCTAGACTTGCCCAGTAACCACAGTGAGGACTCGAGTCGCTGCAATCTGTTATCTACAAGAGAACAATTAAAATCGGAATTCTTACTTAAAAAACAATCGTTGAAAGACTTACTGAAAGTTGCTATTAGACTGTGAAAACCAGTACTTTAAATATGTTTTTTTAGAATTCTTAACAGTCATGAATCCCAAAACATCTACAGCTCCATTGGTTCAGTTCATTCTACCCACAAGTATTCAACTAGATTTGCTAATCCTTGCAGTTTCAAACTACCTAAACCACCGCGCCATTAATCTATGGAACACCCTGCCACCCAGTATCAAAACACTGACCAGTCCACATCAATTCAAAAAGGCCATCCACCATTTGTACATAAGTTAAGTTGTATACATTAAGTTAAGTCATGATCGTTTTTTTAAACCTGTATATAATTTGTGATGATTATGTATGTTCATTCTCTTTTATTTTGTTGTCAGTATGTTCATTATGTTCATATGTTTTGAACCCTGGAAGACTAGTCGTCATGGACTAAAGGGTATCGAAATAAACGAATACATGTTGAATCCTCATTACTGTGATGTTAATGAGGTAGATACATAGAATACAATACATCCAACCCAAAAATGGTAAACAATGTCCACGTACATTCCACATCATACTATGTACATATATATGCAAACGTCAAATGTAAAAACACGCAAGGAGGCGGGGGAGGCCAGAAGATCCAAACAAGTCTAGATCTAGTCTCGTGTTCTCGCGAGACTAGGTCTCTCCGTGATCAAGATGTACACTGGACATCGAAAATTTGGAGGTACGTTTTTCTACCTTTTAAAAGAGTCACTGATTGAGGAATATTCTACTAACTGTTAATTTTACGTGACTGATGAACCTCTTCAATGAAAAACGTGTGCGTTTAATGTCTTACCTCAGGGCAGACATCAAAGCTAACGCCGTTGGAGACCATCTCAACGCCATCGTCGGCTGTACAGGTGTATTCTCCGTCGTCTTCGGGAAGAGCGCTGGGAATCCTCAGCGTCCCTGTGTCCGGATCGACCACGGCCCCTGCGGGAAGACTGGCCGCGTTTCTCCGACTCCAGGAGAACGCGGGAGGCCCGGGAGCGATACCTCCAGCCGCCGCGCAGAGAAGAGTCACCTCCGCTCTTTCATTCACACGATATCCAGGTACTACCCAGGCGGCATTCCTCATGAAAGCTAAAGCGAGCAAGCAAACAAATAAACAATGAGGCTAGAAAGGTAATATTCGCAAAGCACACATATAACGTTCACCTTCACAGGGTCTAGCTGAACTACTGCTCTGTTTATTCTTACTCAACCACATTTCTATAAATTATATGGCTACCAGCAGCCCCTCCATATCTGTCCTGCTACAAAATGTAACCCAACACCACAGGGTGTCTGCTACAGCACTAGTTACCATGGTGACAGATGTCTGGTCTAGGTTATTGATCTTGTATGTTTTGAGAAGAAAAAGAAGAAGAAGAAGAAAAACTGAGCAAACCAATATGGTTCTGCGAAGGAAACTGCCAACTAACAGAACCGCGACACAAAATATCAAATATCATTGAAAACTGATTCAGAAAATTCTTGATCCGTTAACTAGAGTAAAATGAGTTAGCACCCGTCTCATTTTTTACCAGTACAGTATTGTAGACTATAAATAAGATAACCATGAAATAAAGAATTATCAGAACTTTTTTTAACTATCACGTTTTCTGACCTAGGAACTGAAAATATTGAAGTACATAAATGTGATAAATAACCAAGGCTGTCTGTTGGGCGTACTTCAGACTAAGAAGATGAAACAAAAACATAACACGAATAGGAAAGTTCTTTTATTCACAACCATTTCTTTTACATAAGCCGACGTTTAGATGACCGTCTGTTTGTCATCGTCATCAGGGCTATACTATGACTGTTTTATTGTACACTGGAGCTAGGTAACAATTATACATATGTATGTCTTGATTGTTTTACGCATTTGTAGTGCATTGCAATGTTACAGTAGCATGTAGTTTCAGTGCTGTGAACCATGTAACATCTAGCTCGAGTGCACAGTAAACCAGTCAAATTACTCCTGAAGATGACAATCATCGAAACGTCGGCCCATGTAAAAGAAATGGGTGTAAATAAAAGAACTTTACTATTAAATCATTTACCAACCTGATAAAACTATTTATGAAAAATGTAACATTCTCTAAGAAGGCAGTGTAAATGGTTATTTCATAATGTTTTTAAAACTAACTCAGTCAAACCTTATTATCCTCTTAGGAAAGATCTATATTTTCAGCAGAAACTAGAAATATCTGGCTTTATCTCTTTTGTCTCTCATGTCCAAAAATTAGAGTGTATTATTGCTACAAGGTTGGATAAAAAACATAAGCACATTGGGAAATTGGGGAAACTACATGTTATGCCGATTTAAGTTTCCTTTAACCATTGTTTTATTTATTTCCTGGGGGGTTCTCATTAATTTCTCATTATTTCTCTTGTCCTTATTACCTTCGCCAAGAAGGTTATGTTTTCGTAGGCGTTCGTGTGTGTGTGTGTGTGTGTGTGTGTGTGTGTGTGTGTGTGTGTGTGTGTGAGCACGATAACTCAAGAAGGCTAAGATGGATTGTCTTGATATTTGGTAGGTGGATAGGTCTTCATGAGACGTGGAACTGATTAGATTTTGGGCCCCCTAGCAGCTTGTTATGGTACTGCAGCTGAACTTCTGAATATCTCGTGATCTAGACATGCTAGGGTGATGAAATTTGAATGGTAGGTAGCTCTTGTGCTGGGAAAGAAGTGACGTGAGTTTGGGCTCCCTAGCTGCTTGCTCAGGAACTGCAGGGGCGTTAGTTGAAAAATGTTTAAAGGCGGATAACTCAAGAACCGATTGATGGATCGTCGTGGTTTTTGGCATGTAGGTAGCTGAAGTGATGCTTGACATAATAATATTACAATTATGCAAATATTAATGTAATTTGCATAATTAATGAGGAAATTCTATAAATCAGCTGCATTCCATGATAGGACTATTCAAGTTTGTGACATATGTAATTAAGAATAGCAGAAATACAGGCAGATATCAATTATGCAAATGAAGACTTAATTTGCATAATTAATGAGAAAATGTTATAATTACATAGTGGTAATTGCCTGGTATTTCATACTTGAGATATTTGAAAGTTATGTGAAGGTGAACATAATTAAACATAACTTATTCAAACAAGGACCTCATTTGCATAATTTATGAGGAAATGCTAAAGTGGCATTCTTTGATAAGACAAGACTGTCTTCTGGTGTAGAATATGATCAACAGGTATAATTGATGCAATGTAGGATCCTATTTGCACAATCAGGGGGATTAATCTCTAATGTCTTAGTCATAAAGGCTAACATCATTTGGCGAAGGTATGAGATCGGGGAACTCTAGTTGTCTACTGGTTTTATGTTTCAGTTTTGTTGTCATGCATGTGCGTCATGAATTTGTTGTGCCATGATTTTTTTTTCTATCTTGAAATGAATAAAAAGAAAGAAATTAAAAAAAAACTAACTTGGTGCGGCTGGCGTTGTCGATGACCTCGGGGGCGTTGTCAATGTGTTTGGAGGCGGTGTCAATGGACTCGGAGTCGTTGGCTGCGCTGTAGTAACTGTCGCTGTATAAGGCAAGAGAAGATTTTGAAAACCTCATACCTTCATTAACATGGTCGTGTTTTTTGGCGACGCCTCAGGGACGGAGGCATTTGTGTAAGTACTACGATCGCTTTGAAAGAATTTCAAAAATTGCACGAATGCATTCCCTGGGGAATTGGTTTTGAGGTAACCTTCGGTAATGTGGTTTTTTGACCAAGCAGGAAAGACTTTTGTTGCTATGCATGTAAAACGTACTATTTTGTGCGAATTGTGGCTTTTTGCGCACAGAATATTGATAACTGTCTTTATTGATCTTTCAAATACGTTTTCTTCAATCACGAGCGAACAAACATTTTTGTTGCTCATAAGAAAGACCTAGGAGCAGTATATTCAAGCTTTATGCTTCAAATAGGTTTTTAGCTTCAACAAATATCGACACGAAAACACATATACAATAAAAGCAAAAGAACGTGCATCATCTACAGCCCAATAGCAAAATATATACCGAGTCCCAAAAAAACAATCCGCCCACCACAACGCGAGAAACAGCTGCGAACATGAAAACCTCAAACCGTTCTAATACCCTTCCGCGGAAGGATATCTCCTCCCCCGGAGGTAATATTGGAGAACCGTGCATGTTTTTTTAAAGACACCATTCTTGTTTTCCACAGAGAATGCTATGATATAGCCTCTTCTCAGATGCATGGACCGGGGCGGCGTTAACGGTTTTTTTTTGG